TAGTTTTGCACCTGCAGTACCTCTTTTGAGACTAACGTAGACCATGTTCAGGAGGCCCCTAGAGGTATGTGACATGGTCTATGTTAGCCTCCACCGGACCATGTTGATCTCTACCGGTGCGGTCTATGTTAGCCTGCGTTCAGTTTATGGTCAGATTGCAGTTGGTCCATGTTAGTGTCAAAATCGATCATAGACTGAGAGTGGGAACGGTCCATGTTAGTGATGGTCCAGAAATTGCAATAAAGCGCCAATACCGTTTCCCCAGGAAGTCACCGTTTCCAGTGGTCCATGTTAAAGCGCACTTGAAATTGAGTTCTGGTCTATGTTGTTTTTCCCCGGAGCAACATGGACCTGGGGATGGCCCGAAAGATTGTTGTCCTCTACAAACCAGTGGTTCTCAGGGCCCATGTGAGCTTTCAGCCGGGTAGGACAGGGAACGTCTTTTTGCGGTAGCTTTCACGGCTGTAGTGCTTGCGATTCCTCGTGTGGCGGTGTCCCTGTTTCCCTACAAAGTGCCCGCGTTCCCCTCATAGTCCATACTCTCCGCGAAAGGATGCTGCATAGCTAATTGCCACTATTGACAAATACTGGAGATTGTGTATGTGAGGTCAAATCTTGTCAGGGCCAGGTTTGGACAATTTGAATTCCAAGGACTCAATTGAGTGGGTATCCGATCAAATCAAAAGTGTCCAGTTAGGTACGCTGCTCACATATTCTGACAGAACCCATTCAGGTTGTTTATATACCATGATACACTGCAATACAGTAATTTGTTTGTCTCGGTCGCGCTATGCTAGGTCCTGCTAGGTTGCGTTGCAGAGCAGCAACACTAGGTTTACGTCAGTTTCCTAGTTCGTTTGACTGGAGTGGGTTGTCCTGTATGATGTATGTGTAACAGTCAACATGGATTCGGCCTCAAACATCCTTAAGCTCGTTTAAGCAATCGCTGTTGTAAAGGTGCAAGATCAATGACACATCTCGAATGCATTTAAGTCCTAAGCTATTTAAGGCAAAAATCGTGATGATGCCCTGCATTCTGCGGCGGCAAACCGTGGGCGGAGACCTGCCCCTTTTTCAAGTGGCCGGTTTTGTGGCCCGAGCCTCAGCACTGCCCGGGGTGAAGAAGCACGAAGTTCTGAAAGGGGGATGCAGCAGAATATAGGAACAAGAAGCTACTAGGGGCTCCTGGCATCGCTACTAGGAGCAAGGGCGCAGGATCATGTGAAGGTCTCAAGATGTCTCAACTGGAACTCCAGCAGGCGCATGCAAGCCAAGCCCTCTTGAGCTGAGGTGATTGCCGTTGGTTTCAGCCTTTTGGTGCTTCGATACATCGATGCAGGGCAGCTCCTAAGCTCCCAATCTCGGACCCAAAGACGAGAAAGGCTTCTCTTAGCCGTGCGTGCCTACTTGCGAAAGCAATGGCTGCACTTTGCTTGTCTTGCGATTTGCAGCATCCTGATCCTTCTTGATACTACGACTGGGTGTGCTGATAATGCAGGCAGCTACATTACCTCCTCTGCATTTCCTGGTTTGGGCTTGTTGTTGAGCCTGGATCGGTTGGTCATGTATGCCAAAGAGGAGAAGGCGGTTGAATTCGGCTCTGCAAATGCAAGCCCACTTCACCATGCTGGGTCAGAAAACTTGGAACTGGGTCCTGCTGGTGCAACAAGCCCGTCCCCAGCCAACCTGCGCTCACTGCCCGTAACCCGTGCTTCGCCCTTCGGTGCTGCAGGTTATCGGCTTCTCGACTTCTCAGCGTTGCTGGAGCATTTAATCCAATACCTCCGAGAAGAAGAACTGCAGTTGGCACAGCAACGTGAGGTTCTGGCAGCCGGGCAGACGGCTAAACAAGCAGCTGCATCTCAGCTTACACTACTGCGAGCCAGCGCGAGACTGGATGATAGCCCCGATGCCCAATGGGATTGGACAATCACTGCCTCGGCAGGCTCCGAAACTGCCTTGACAGTCATTGCGCCCAGATCTTTCACCTACCTTCGACGCTTGGCCAACCTGGATTGTGAGGCATTGCTTAATGAGCTTTTGCAAACCAATCTTGGTGAGCTTCGAGTCGCAGCCAAAAGCGGTTCCTCCTTGCTGTGCTCTGCAGACCAGCGAACCTTTGTGTTGAAGACTGTCTCCAAAAGTGAAGTGAAGCAAGTGCGAGCCATGCTGGCAGATTACAGAAAACATTTGGAAGAACGCCCGGAGTCCTTGCTGTGTCGAATATATGGCTGCTTCAGCTTCAGGAATTCCCTGGGCTACTTCTTACATGCTGTGCTGATGGACTGCTTGGTTGGTTTGCCAGCAAGCTTGACCGATTTTGATTACATGACACCAAAAGTCTTTGACATCAAATCAGAGCTTCTTGGCGGCCAAAGAACGTCCGAAACGTTAGAGAGATCCCAAAAGTATGAGCCCAAAGAGTCTGGAAATATCAGGCTTCAAGCTCTCAACAGGGCCATTCCGGGCGAATGGGCATATGGGCATATTGTTATTAAAGGACATACAAACTGCATGTATGCCATGCCACAGTATGCCCGTACATTCTTGTTTGCAGCTACATAAAGGTTCTAACCATTTGTATCTCCAGGTGCCGTTGGTTTGCATTGGCCCAGTCATTGCTCCCGAAGATTGGCATTAGGCGGCGTAGAAGTGGTAGCAGTATATATATAGTAGTAGTCGTCGTCGTCGTAGTCATAGTTGCAGTTGTCATAGTAGATCGAAGTAGATCGTAGTAGATCGAAGCAGGTCGTAGTAGATAGTAGATGCTAGTAGTAGTAGTAGTAGTAATAATAATAATAGTAGTACTAGTAGTAGTAGTAGTCGTCGTCGTAGTGGTAGTGGTAGTGGTAGTGGTAGCGGTAGTAAGTGTAGTAGTAGGTAGTAGTAGGTAGTAGTAGGTAGTAGTAGGTAGTAGTAGGTAGTAGTAG